TTTTTCTGGTAATAAAATAAAAAAGATTTTATTAAAATAAAAAGGAAAAGAAACAAGGAGAGTGACTAGAAGCCACGAGGGAGAGAGAGAGAGAGAGAGAGAAAGAAAACAACTCCCACAAAAAAAAAAAAATAATAATAATAATAATAACCCACACTACAGGCCCAAGAAATCCAAAACCCACACTACAAACAATTAAAACTTCAACCCAATTCCACCCTTCAATGCCACCCTTGCCTTACTACTATAACCCAAAGCAGCAAGGGAAAGAAAACAGCCCAACAAGACACACATAAGCCTTCCTTACTTCTTTGATGTTCACTTGAATTTTAAGATCTTGTTTGAACCAACTCCAAAAAATTTAACATCTTCTTTGATGTTCACTAGCAACCTGCAAGAGAAGAAATAATGCAAATAAAAAAACAGAGTTTGATATGCTCTGTTCCTCAGATGCTGAAGTTCCAACAGTGGTACTGGTAGCCTCTTTGTTGCACTCCATGCAGAGCTGTTAATAGCCTCCGGAAGCTTCACCCTAGAAACCCAACTACCAAAGCATAGCTATGCTAACAAAATACACAAGAAAGTAATGTGAATCTTTATTGACCACATCCATCAGATTTAGGACTTCTACGGTCAGGTTCAAAATAAATTGTAGAATAAACATTACATTTTTAGGGTTTGAAAAATAATTAAAGATGAGCTTCAATTTATCAAATAAAAACATTTACCAGTGGGATCAGATTGATTGAACGAACATTTCTAGCACATCTCAGTCTCCAAACTCGGGATATGATAATTCCAACTGGACTTTAAAAAATAAGAAATACTAAACTCGTAAGCAACAAAGAAAATCTAAACTGAAATTACTAAACAAACTCCCTTAATTTCACTGAAGTAATAAAAAGCAACAGAAAGTCCTAGATTAGAAACCACAAACCCAAACAAAAACAAAACTAAGGGACCAGCTCCTGTTGCGATTATTACAATTGTGCAAATTTCTAATAGAGGAACATTAGAACACAATCATTGACTTTGAGAAGAAGACAAACAAAAGGAAAAGAAAATTACCACAGAAACTTAGTCAAGATTTCAATGGAGACAAACATGAAGACCAAAACCCAAATCCCCAAAAATCTCTCCATACCACCATTTCACCTTTGGAACTTCAGCCAATTCGTCCTACCAGTGCCACATGGTGAGAAAATACCATTATGAGATCGAAGGACGGTGAGAAAAATCTGAGGCATCTGTTTCTCGAATCCATTCCTTAGATCGGAAAAAATGGTGGAACAGTCATATCTACAACATCGCTGAGAGGATGTACGAGCAATGAGTTGATCGGGAAAAATGGTGGAAACGCCGGTGTTAATTGACCGTTGTAGTGGCTAAGAGGAGGTACGAGCATTGCCATTTACACCGATAGAGAAGACGATGAAGTTTTACATCGATTTTATCGATGGAAACTTTCCAGCCATTCTCGATGTAAAATTCACCATCAGCGGAGTTTTGCCTCTATTTACGGTGTAAAAGAACATCTAAAACAAACGTTAACAAATTCGAACCGCGGTGTAAAGTTTACCCCGGTTCTTATTTCCACCGAAAACAAACGCAGCCTAAAAAGAGTAAGTTTCAGGCTTCCTTTTCCTTCTTGAACATGTCAGTGACTCAGTGTCAGTGGTCAGTCTAAGTTCTAAAACAAATTCGAACATGCCAGCGAGAGAGTTCATTCGCTACATAATTTTAAAATCTTCTTCTTTTTCTTCTTTTTCTTCTTTTCTGTTTTGGAATTTTATTTCAGTTTTTAACTAAAATAACCGAAATAGTCAAATAAAATTTTGGTTCGGTTTGATCGGTTCCAAGTTTCCAACCAATTTCGATTTCGGTTCGATTTTTGCCTACAGTAGATCGGTTATAAAAAATTCGGTTTTTTTCGGTTCAAAACCGAATTACAACTCCGAAACAACTCAGTGATTCGCGTCCGATACACAGAGATATCGCCCGAAAATGAGCGGGTGCACAACTCCGAAATTACAATCCGACGTACAAAGATTCCTCGTACTCCAACTTTATCTGAAGAACCAAAATCACTGGACACCAGGTAGTGACGAGAATAGTAGAAGAGGCGAGGACTGAGGAGGAACAGTGGGAGCAAACGGAGCCCTAATTGTAATTGCCTGTTCTTCTTCTGTATTCATTTATTACCAAAGATGGAAACCATTGGCGTCCTGATGACCAGCCCCATCTCGGCATACCTGGAGGAAGAGCTCGACAAGCGATTCAAGCTCTTCAGGTTTTGGGAATCCCCGGAGAAGAAGGAGTTTCTGAACAAGAATTCACTTTCGATAAGAGCGGTCGTGGGGAACGCGAGTGTCGGCTGCGATGCTGCGATGATTGATTTGTTGCCCAAGCTGGAGATAGTATCAAATTTTAGCGTTGGGTTGGATAAGGTCGATTTGGTGAAGTGCAAGGAGAGAGGGGTTAGGGTTACCAATACCCCCGATGTTCTCACCGACGATGTTGCTGATTTAGCATTGGCTTTGATTTTGGCGGTGCTCAGGGGGATCTGTGCTTGCGATCGTTACGTCAGGGGCGGGTCGTGGATCAAAGGGGACTTTAAACTGACTACCAAGGTCTGCAAATATTTCTTCTTGTTCTATTTTTCACTATCCTGGGTTTCTTTTTCTTTTGCTTTCCTAGTTTAATTATTCGATTAGCAAAGAGAAGAATTGGTTAATCATTTCAGTTTTCTTTATCAGTTATTTTTGTGAACTAGAAGTTGTACATCCTCTTCTTATTTGGTGATGAACATTTTTTTTAGGATAATTTGGTGATGAACAATTGAGGCATGAATCTTGAGTTCCAATTGATAGATGTAACATTTTATGAAATATTCGTACCAAAAAGATTAATTTAACATGGTTTGTCATTATTTGCAAATGTATTTCTTCTAATAGCAACCGAGATTGTCATCTGTCACTTTCCCTTGAAATATAACTATATAAGATATGGATATAAAAGATTTATTTTTCCTACGCGTAGCAATGAGGTTAATTGGTTTTCTTGAGATTTATTTCCTCTTCTTCTTGTTTGGAATTTCATATATTTTTCTGCTGTTTTCTGTAGAACATAAGTTTCCACCATTACGCATAAAATGATATCAAGCTTAAAGGTTTTACGCAGATGTGAGCATATCTGTCTGAATGTATGTGACTTCAATATTTAACATATGGACAAACCTTCTGGTACTAAACAAAATGCTGTATTCATGGTTGAATGTTTCTTCTCATGTGCATGGAATTAGTTGCTCCTGGTTTCTGTCTTTTTTATTGATCTAAGTATTCCACCAACTACCTTGATTTTGTCAATGCACTCCATTCAGATCATATGTATATCTGGGAAAATTATCTAATGTAGTTTTGGAAAAGCAGAAGCATATATATTCATTGATGTTGTTCTAAATACTACATGACATCGTCATTTTTAAAGAATTGGGTATCCTTGTTACATGAACAAGAGGTTTCGTGATGAAAGGTGTCTTGTATTAAAAGGACAAGCTAGTGATCAACTTGTTTGTTTGGATTGTATACATTTGATTGAGAATAGTGAGTTTCACAGGGTTCTTCCATTGATGTAGGCACAAAATGCCAAACCACATTAAATCATGTGTATTGTTCTCAATTTGCATTATTTTTTAAGTTTCTTTTTGGTTTCTTTCACGACATTTGAAAATTTGAGATATTTTTTGCCCATAGAAGCAATTATTTGCTATAAATATGTTTTTGTTCTAAAAGTTTTCTGCTAGGGGAAGGAAAATGTAACAATTCTAAAAGAATAGGTCATCTATTCTACAACTTCATCCTATATCTTGTCTTGATTGATTTACTGATTAATCAAATTCAACTGATAACATGGTTCTGCAAATTTGGAGAGCTGGATAGTGCTTTCAGAGCATTGCTTGCATTGAGTTGTGGTAAAATGATATTGCAATTTTGCAGTCTTCCCTTGACACCTTTGCTCCTATTGGCTAATCACAAGTCTATGGAAGATGCCTGGTTAGGGTTCAAAGTAGTTCTTTTGCCAACCACAGGCCATTAGAGGCTGAAGGATTGGATTTGTATCAATTGGAGGTGGGGGGGGGGGGGGTTAGAGTACCTGTTAGTGATGAGGATTAAGACTTGACCAAAGCTGAGGTGACAGAGTTCTACCTGTTTGATTGCTTGCTGTAACTCTCATTGCTTCTTGTTGAAGGGTATTTCATGAATACTATTAGATGGGTTAAGGAATTGGAAAGCAACCCCTGAAGGTTGTGATTACCTTCTCAAAGGCATCAGATTTTTCGTCCTTCATGTGCTATTGGTTGGAGTTCAGTGTTGGAGGAAGGGGCAATGGTTGCAGATGACTTTTGCTAACTTACCGATCAGAATTTTATTTATCTCTGGGAAAGAGCTGAAGGTACAATTGTATGACATTATCATAAGCCTGACCTCTTTATGGAGGAAACAAAAACACCATACTAGGTGCTCAACAACAAGAATACCATCTTGTGAAATTGGTCAGCAGTACAATACGCCATTTAATACAACAAAGCCTCGAACATCAATATCCACTCCACAACGTTGCCTACAATAATTTAGCATCTTAGCATTTGTAGTGCTAGGAATAAGTGAACTCAATATTAAATTCTATACTATCACCTGTAGCATTTTACATGGTGTTTTTTCCTAGCTCCAAGGGGAATTGGTATTCTGTAACACCCAAAGCTTAACTTTGTTAAGTAATTTTTCAGAGTTAATTACTGGTAGTCATTATTCACAATAGTTGTAGCAATTTGAGGGGTTCAAAAAATTGAACTCCGCTGGTATTTCATTTGACAATATCCATTTTACCTAGTTACAAATATAAATGATGGTTAAGCATTAAGAATTTCCTTCCTGAATCTATTAAGTGTATTCCATAGTTCTATTTTATTTTATAGCTTTATGACCTAATGCCCATGGAAATGTGATGAGGTAGGACTTACTACAGAAAATTTATTCATATCAGGATGTCTTTCCGTCAGTTGTGAGCTCTATTGTTGGGGTGGATTGTTGAGGGGTGACAGAGTTCTACCTGTTCCGTTGCCAAGACTTTTTACATATTAATGCAGAGAGGACATGTCGCATCATTCAATAATATTACCATTTTAAATTGGTGGCACTTGCAGTATCGGAATACATTTTTATCTTTATGCATTTGAATCAACATATGATAGTAATAAAATAGTTCAGTTGTATTCACTGTTTAACATAGACAACAGGCTTTTTTAAAACTGATTTGTCTAACAGTGAGACTGGGCATAAGTTTATAATAACATACAAATCAAAAAGAAAGGAAACAAAGAAAGAAAACCCTGTAATGGTCAAAGTGTATAAAATTATTATACACTGTTTTCACAATCACATAAAACAACAGTAGAAGACAACTGTCTAAGGCCTAACCTGCTTCAGAACTAGCATTCAGCAGAGTTCAAATTCTTCATTAGATTCATCAGAAGAGCCATCTGAAAGATGTTAAATTTGTATTGAATTATCTATTTTGCTCACCTCATGTTTCTTATGCGTTGGCAGTTCAGTGGCAAAACAGTAGGCATTCTGGGACTGGGCAGGATTGGCTCAGGAATTGCAAAAAGAGCTGAAGCATTTGGGTGCCCGATCAGTTATTACTCCAGGTCGAAGAAACCGAATATAAACTACAAATACTATCCAAGCGTAGTGGAATTGGCAGCCAACTGCGATATACTCGTAGTTGCTTGTCCTCTAACAGAAGAAACACGCCACATTGTGAACCGTGAAGTGATTGATGCATTAGGTCCAAAGGGCGTCATCATAAACATCGGGCGTGGTCCACACGTCGATGAGGCAGAGCTGGTGTCTGCGCTGGTTGAAGGGCGGTTGGCTGGGGCTGGGCTGGATGTATTCGAGCATGAGCCTCATGTACCGGAGCAACTGTTCGATCTAGAAAATGTGGTTCTACTTCCCCACGTCGGTAGTGGCACCGTGGAAACGCGCAAGGACATGGCGGATCTTGTGATACGCAACCTGGAAGCCCACTTTCTGAACAAGCCTCTCATTACACCTGTAGTTTGAGATTTTTAGCTTGCCACGAAGCTACATTACTCTCTTGTAGGTATTCTGGACTCATATTTCATTTGGACACATCTTAGTAAACTTCATCTCTGTAAGAACAGTATTGTTTTTTACTATTGTTATCTGAAATAGAATAAGAGAAAGTAAAGAATAAAGAATATAGGTTCTGATATGGCAGAACTCCATGCTCTCATGGCAGCAAGGTTCAAAATATCGATACGCCCAATATGGGCTGATAGGTATCAAACTATTGATATTTTGAACCTCGCAAGGGAGCCGATTCAGGCAGCTCAATCGATAATCAGTGTTTGGCAACTGTGGTTCCGGCAGAACCACCACATTGATCAACCACAACAACAGCTATAGGTGAAATTTCAAAACACAAATCAGTAGGCATTCTGGGCATCTTAAGTATTGTGCTGAATGGGAAATTCAACTCTAGAGCCTTGCCAGAATGATCCCAACTCCTGGGTTGTGGAGTGTGGTTAGTTCTATTGTATATATCGGGCTCAAGTATGGGCTTAGAATACACAACTCTCAACACTCGATATCTATCTATATCATGAACAGGCTTAATGAATTAGAAAAGGATGGATTCATACGCTGGGGATTGCAGGTTTATGAATATGGGCAATGTACCATGCGAGAAAGCTCGATGGTCCGGACTCATTGCCTTTCAAATCCAGATTCAACAGAAGTAATTGGAATCAGTTGGCAAGCTTCTCAACCATTGATTTTGGTAAGCATAACTGCTGCAGCCTAACTGTGAACCCAGCACTAATCTAGCTAACTGGAAATCTGGAATGCAGTTGCGAGGGAATCCCGTGAACTGAATGAAAATTTGGATGGAATAGCCAAATGGGATGCATGTGATTCCACCACCGACGCTCCTGATGCCCAAATAGGAAACAGCCCTGAGATTGTGTGAGAGAGAGAGACGTCAATTTCAAGATAAAGATGCAGCGTCGGATCTGACGTTCTTTTGTTCCATGTGGAGATGAGTTTGCATTATTTGATTCGTGCCGGGGTCTTTTGTGGCTTGGTGTACTGATACTGAACTACTGCCCAGCCCACCCACCAAGGTCGAGTCTTCTTTCTTTTGGGCACACAGGTGAGGAAATTGGATACAAGCAGTGACCAAACACTGTGCCTGGTTTGACAATTCTTGACATATTAATGTTAGCCAATCGCCAGGACACAGAAGTTGGTCCCAGTCGGGTCCAAGTTTTGATTGGTCGATAAATAAAAAAGCTTTAAGCCAGACCATTTCGTTGTTCATTGTTGCAGTTAGAAATGTCCAATCCAACCCGTGATCTGACTGCCCGAATGGCTTAACCAGTAGGAGTTACAGAGTCACATCCTCTCAAGTCCATTGGTTATATCTTCTCAACATGCATTAACCACTAAAATTGATAATGGAGGAGAGAGAGAGAGAATCATCCATTTGAACTTTGAAGTTTCACAGAAAGTGAAGATGATAAAGACATTTTAACCACTAGCAGATCATTTGTACATCCTACTCCTACATGCACAAGGCACCATAATTGCTCCTTCAAAGAGCCTTACAGAGATACTGATTTAGTCTGATTACAATAAATGCAAGGAGAACCCAAAGATCCCAAGTGGGCATCTGTGGGATTATCTCCTTGATAATCTCTTCATCCCCCTCTCTCTTTTTCCTTACTTTCCCTTTCATTTGATATTTCTCCCTGCACTGATTCACAAAAAGAACGAAAAAAAAGGAAAAGACAGAAGGAAAAAAAGGAACAGAGTAACTGGTAGAGGAGTTACAGTGGTTGATAATATTTACTTCTCAGCATAGTATTTAGTTTCCAGAAATAGCAGGAGCTGAAGAGGCGCCTTTGAAGATGAGGAATTTGAGGGTCTCCAGGGCAAAATAGATGAAAGTCCCCTGAGAATGAGTGAAGAAACAACCAAAGTTGGAACCCACAACGCATTGCCACCCAGATCCATAAGTCGTATCGAATTCCTGTGACCATTGGAACCAAAAGTTCAGGAAAAGCATAGACATGCTGCATGAAACGATTTCTTCTTCTTCTTTTTTCTGTTTCCATATAAAAAAAAAGGAGAAAAAAGGGCTGTAGATGGTATGAAGTGTCACCTTTTTTATGTGGGCAGCAATGGATTTGCAGTCAAAAACGTCGTAGAGATCAAGCGCTTGGGAAGCAGAACTCATGGCCTGTATCTGCATCTTCACAGGCATGTCTGTGTCTTCTATCAGAGCTTTGCCTTCCAACATCTTCTCCTCTCCTCTCTGCTCTATGAAACCCACCAAGGGTTCTCGTTGTCTCGATCTCTTCTAAATGAAAGGAAAGCAGAAGAAGAAACCAGAAAACAGATGAGCCTCTGTCTCTCTTCTTCACTGCCTTCCAAATGTTACAGAAAACCCAGAAAAGATTTAATGCTTTATTGAAAACTTTGTTGCTGACACAAAACCCAACCTTTTGTTCCTTTCTTTCCTCCCTCCCTTCCCATTTCTGGGGGTCTTTAGCTTTATTATAAATTTATAATGGAGACTTGGAGAGGAATCTCAGTCTCTCTCTCTCTCCTCTCTCTCTCTTTTTCATCTTCAACGATGTAATAAAAGTACTAATAAACTAATGATTCGTAGGATAAAGACGATGAAGCAGAAAAATAATGGGTTAAAACAATGATTTAATGGGATTTAGTAAGAAAGATTGTAGTCGAATTGGCTTTACTAGACCAGATCCTCACACCCACAAGAAATGAAGAAAGGTAGACCTAAACGACGGTCTATCAATTAGCTTTGCCAGGCCCTTGAGTTTTCTATTGCCTGATCAAACGGCTGTGATGAGATCAGGTTGGCCTTTCCTGGGCATCATCACACTGTAGAAAGTAGGAACAGAACTAGAAGAATCTGGTGCTTCCAAATAAACAAATAAATAAATAAAGAAGTATCTAGAATGCAAGGGGAGAAGGGCATATTCGTCATTTTGATGCCCTCTGCCCCCAGTCCCCAGTGGCCCCACTCCCAGAAAAAAAAAAGTGTAAAAATCTTAGAGAGATAGATAGATACCCCTCCAAACATGTCCCACCGAGACTTCTGTCTCAAGATAATTTTGTTTAATCCAAAGCACTACATTGTGCTGCCACGTCAGCTGCTACAAAGCTTGGATGACTTAAAGCAACTTCCTTGGAGTTGGAGGCTGTTTGGCTACTGTTGGACTACAGTCGTTTAAGTCGGTAGGTTTAATGTTAAAAGTTTAAACTGATACCAATATACCATACGGCATGGTTCAAAGAATGGATAACGCTGGGGAGATGGAGAGGAGGAAGCCACAACGATGAGAGTTCCTTAAAAGTTAAGTGCAAGTGATGTGATTTGGTCATGTAATAGCCAGGTGGTGAAACATAATCATTCTTATCATTAAGTCATGTCCAGTAATGGAATAAAGTTTTGTTCGAGGTTCAAAGTATTGAAAACGTAAAATGTATTAGAAAATTAATTTTAAGAGATTTATTAAGATATGCTTTTTATACACACGGATATAAATGAAAAATTATATTAAAAACATGAAATATAAATATTAAATGGCATATATATATATATATATAAGAATTGCATATTTTAATGGTTCATAATCAAATATACAATAATATATAAATATTAGCTAATATTATTATAAAATTCTAGAAAAATCATAAATGATAAATCTTAGAAATAAAGTACATGGATATTCAAAAGACTTATGAATTTAATTTAAATAAATTATATGTGATGGGGTCAAAAATTAGGTCTGAATTGACTGCCACATGGACTACTTAGAGAGGTGACAGCCAGGCCTGGGACCGGCAATTAGTCAAATGTGGCATGACTTTATTTAACCACAAGGGTAATGTTGGTGCATGCCACAAGTCTCACGTAGGACCAGGACACATGGCAAACGCTAGCCGAACTTGTCTTGTTCTAAGGTTGGCACTAATGACCTCAAACTCCTTGTCCCATGGCATGTGGCAAATGCCCCCCAACAGGTATATAATGGCACACTCCTTAAGCTAACCTCTCTTTATTCTCTCTAGTAAGCTCTTTAAGCCTTATTGCTCTCTTGCACACTTGAGCTCTTGAACTCACATGGCTAAGATCAGTTCAGCTTGCCAACCACCTTACTCTCTTAGTGACTTGAGCATCATAGTGGGGACCTCTAACTCTTGAGTTCATATCTCCGCCCCACAAGGAACCACCCCACAATGCCCCACAATACATCTCTGTCGTATATTGGGAACATCTCCTGATGATAATGCCAGTCCCGATGATGTCATTATTGGGAGATAATCCCAATACACGGTGGGAGTGTGTTGTAGGGTGTTGTGGGGCGGCCCCTTGTAGGGCGGAGATGTGGTCTCCTAACTTCCATGTGTGCAGGGTCGTTGAACCAGTCCAACTCATCTTTGTTACTCATCCACTTCAGCCCAGACAACATCAACATACTTAACCAATAATATTAATATTGATAAGTTATATGCCTAAATACTAATTTTATAAGATAGATGTATTACTTAATTTACATTTAGTTTAACCACTTATATTAATATTTAATTGGTTACGTGTATTTTTAATATTTAACTGATTACTTGTTTCATCCATATGAAATAATGATGATTGTATGATACACAACATTACCAGGTAATGTCTACCCAAGTTGCTTAATACTAAATCTATACTATATATAGAAGTGTGAATGTAGTGTGAAACTTTTTTTGGACTAAAATTATCATTTATTTCTTTGTTTGAGAAATGATATACAAGTCATTTTATTATAGCTTTAATGGCTACTATAATGGCCTTATTTGTGTATTTAATCCATCCTTAATGGTAAATATAACTTCAATTATTACTTTCCACCTCAATTAATTCTCTCTCATTAAGTCCAATACTTAAGTTATTAAATTCCATTTTTTTCTTATTAAATTCTATTTTTTAAGTTATTTTTCACTAATAAATGCTACTAATTAGATCAATGTCAATATTTTTAACAATATAAACCATATATTTAAAAGCTGATTCAAAAACAAAATCGTTCTTTATTTGAGTGGTGGCTAAGCAATTCAACAGTCCAAATCAAATTGGTCAACCTATGAAGTCATAATTAGGTAATAAAATTTTTAATATAGAAATAAAGATAGAAAATTACAAAAAAATATAGAAAAATTAGACACATTAATGATATTTTATTAATCAAATTAAAAAAATAAGTGTAATAAACAAGAATGTTTTTTATTGATAATGAAAATGAAATACATAATTTAAAACTAACCAAAAATGAAATATAAAAATTAATAATAAATAGTTTAACCTTTGGGTTAAATGTCTTAACCTTTAATGTCATAAATAAATAATAAAAATTAATAAAATATAAAAATACATAAATTTTGAAAAAAACTTTCAGGCACATGTGTAATATCATATTAAACAAAAAGTAAGTGTGACATACTACAATTATTTTTACACACAAAAATATAAAAAAATTATAGAAAATTTTGAACACATCTATAATTCTAGATTTATACTGCTATTAAAAATATAGATAAGATTGTGGAACTTTCTTTTGACTAAAATCAAGATTTTAAAAATCGATCTAGAAACGGAACCGCTTTGGCTTCTGGTTTTCAAGTCAACAGTTCAACCATCCAGTTTGAGCGAGCCAAATCGGTAAGATGTAAAATACAATGTAGCTTTTTATTTTGACCATTAGGTTATGATTAGGCTAAAGTTCACCGTATATATACATTATTATGAGAGGTGAGTGTGAGACTTTGAAAAAGAGACGGTTGGTTAAAGTTGAGAAGTGAGAAAAAAAGAAAGAGAAGAAGAAGAAGAGAAAGATGCGTCGTCGGAGGTGGTTGTCACCATATTCATTGAACATTGTTGTAGAACTATTTTCCCTAAGAAGAAGAAGAAGGAATTGGTGGCAGCGGCTATCTCCTTGTTCATCATCACCGCCGCTACAACACCGTTTGCCCTCTTCTTACATCTCTCTCATCTATCTAAATCACTCTAAAATCATGAATCATTTGCTTCATTGGTGTATCATATTTTAATATAAGATGGATGTTTAATCTCTCATCTCTTGCATTGATTTTTCAATTTTTTCATTGGAGTTGCAATTTTTTGTTGTTACAACTTAAAAAGAACAACTGAAATGAGAAAACTCAAAATTAAAATAGAATAACTAAAAACCCTAACTAATTTTGGCCATTGGGAATAATCGAATAAGATTTTGAGACATTAGAGTTTCTTTTATCATTTTTTTTTATTTTCTAATTTCTATTTTTAAAATAAATAAACATTTTAGAATTATTTTGAAAGTAACCCAAGAATTGTTAATCGAGTTGAACATTTTGACGATTAAATCGCCCAGATAAGCAATTCTCTAACCATTTTCAATGGTTTTTTTAAATCACAATTCAAGGCCAAAACAAAACCAGTGACCTGACCAGTTCCTGGGCTAAATGGTTCTATTGTCTGACCTAGTCCAATTTCTAAAACATTGATTAAAATACTCATTTTTAAATTTAGTCCTTATTTAATTGTAAGGTTTAAATTGTCAATTAAACTACTACTTTTCACCTCATTCAATTCCTCCTATTTAAATCTTATAGTTTTTTGATAAATGAAAAAAAAAAGAAAAAAGATCTATATAAAAGTACGGATGTAGAGTGGAATTTTTTGGACTAAAATTACCCTCTATTTCTTTGTTTGATAAATGGTATGAAAGTCATTTTATTACAACCCTAATGTCAACTTTTGATGGCTACTAAAATGTCCATATTTGTTTATTTATTACATCTCTAATTGTAAGGGTTGAAAATGTAATTTCAATTATTACTTTCCACTTCATTTAATCCCCTTTCATTAAGTTTTATACTTAAAGGTATTAACTCCCATTTTCTCTTATTAAATCCTATATTTAAGTTATTTTCACCAATAAATAGTACTAATTAGATATATGTCAATATTTTTAACAATATATACCCAAATATTTTAAAATTGGCTAAAAAACAAAACCATTCTTTATCCAAGTGGTGGCTAAGGCGTTAAGCAATTCAACCATCCGAATCAAATCGATGAACTTATGAAATCATAGTTAGGTAATAAAATTTTAAAATAAAGATAAATATAAAAAATTAGACACATTTTTTATACTTTTATTAAACAAACTAAAAAAAATAAGTGTAATAAAAAGAATTATTTTTATTGATAATGAAAATGAAATGCATATTTTAGAACTGACAAAAAATGAAATTATCTTACTATTTGGCAAAGACCAATAATTCAACTTTTAGGTCAAATGTGTTCACATTTAATGTCATAAATAAATAATAAAAATTAATAAAATATAAAAATACAAAAAATGAAAAAATACATAAATGTTGCAAAAAAACATTCAAGCACATGTATAATATTAATTAATTACCATATTAAACAAAAAGTAAGTGTGATATATTGGGATTATTATTTTTAGACAGAAATATAAAAAATTACAGAAAAAATTGAACACATCTATAATTCTATATTTATACTACTATTAAAAATATAAAGAAGAATGTAGAACTTTTTTTTATTAAAATACTATTTTTTAAATTTAGTCCCTATTTAATTGTGAAGTTTAAATTGTAAATTGAACTACTACTTTTCACTTCATTCAATTTCCTCTATTTAAATCTTACATTTCTTTGATAAATGAACAAAGAAAAACACCAAAAAGATAAAATATTATAAAAGGAAGCATCTAACCAAGCAGGTAGACTTGTTAATGATATTTGAAACTTTACAACTTGATCCGATTATCACATATTTAGATGATTTGCTTATGTAATCATATTTGGATTTTGCAATATGCATCTGATTAATGATAAAAAGAAAAAAACATATAAACACAAAAATAAAAATAAAAATACATATTTATACAAATTTTTGTATACAATATTGCTATAATTATCATCATCTAGAATTAGGGGTGTTCACAAGTCGAGTTGGGTCGGTTCCAATGATTTTTTTTCAACCAACCCGACCTTTTCAGGTTGCTTATTCACCAAACCTAAATCGACCTACACTAAAGTAAAACCGATCCAAACATGAAGGGTCGGTTTGTCGGTTTAGCCAATCGGTTTTGGCAATTGGAAAATGGGCAAAAGCAAGAGGTCGTGTAGTGTTTAGTGTGTGCAAAAGAATTTTCAAAAATCTCCTTAAGTTTGACAAGTTTAAAGCCTTAGGGAGCTTTCTTGCAAGGTTGTCGATCCCAAAATTGTAATAAATAAAAAGACTTTGAAATTAACTCAAACTTTTCCCCATATCCCATTTCCATGTTTCATATTCTGTGTAAACTTTTTAACTCAAAAAACAAAGTAAAAAAGAGAGTAGAAGAAATATTAGAAAAAGGAAATAACAATCCCAAGATAAAAGCAATTCCCCATTTATCTAATGTTACTTAAACTTAAAGTTAACTAGGATAAAAAAAGACTAGGACTAAAGAAAGTAATAAGCAATAGGCCAATAGCCAAGGATGAAAACACTCTACATTAGTGCATTACATGTTCGGTTTGGTTTCAGTTTTTAAGTATAAAAGTTGATCCGACCTGATCTATTGGTTTAACTACTTGCAAGAACCGAAACTGATTAGGGATTTTAAAAAACCAACTAAATCGAGTTGGATTGATCCATTTTGGTCGATTTAGCTCACAATCTGAACACCCTTATCTAAAATTACTATGTATAAAGCACGCACATACTTATTAGTCTCATTAAAAGGATGAATACTCAATATTGATTTAAAAATCAGTTAACAATTTAATTTATATTCCCAATTCCATGTATTGACATAGAACTCGGTTCAAAAATTGATATACATGGTATAATAGATAAGTTGCAATGTTTTGAATCCTAGGAATAGGGATTAAGGAGACACCCTTGGTAGAGGCAAACATTGGGTTTTCCCTTGTTTAGATTAAGGTAAAAATGTAACCAAACAATCCCTAAATATCAGTCCACAACTTGTAAATAAGAAGTTGGAAGAGAGAAGTGAAGATGATGTTGAAGGGGTTGCTCTCGTTGAAACAATGAGTAAGGAATACTACCAGAAAACAGTGAATCGGTGACGAAAAAGGTGAAAGGAGAAGCCTTTCATTTATCTACTTATACTATTCCTGTTCACATAGCCGAAGGAGTTGGAAGAAAGAAAACGTGAAAGATTTGAACTTTCAGCCCGGCTGACACTTGGCCTTTGGCCTCCCTGCTGATACGCGCTCCAGTGAATGATCTCATAATACATCCCAACCGTATATTTGAAATATTTTCCTTTCCCAATACATAATGAGATGTACTAAGCAAGGTTTTTTTCGATGATTGGGCCTGACACACATCCGGTCCAAAGTCCGAACATGTCTTAATATCTTCTTTTCAAGATGGTTATCTTCTTGCTCTTTTTCCTTTTACCCTTAACCACTTATCCTTAGTTTGTTTTTTAAGGAATTAAATGATTTGAGATAAGATTTGGCAAAAATCGTCCCAACTTGCCGGATCCAACCCCAAAAAAGTGGATTAGAGTCCCTTATCCGGCAACCTGAATTAGAAGGCAACATGACCCGACCAGAATAGAAAAGAATTTGGGTTGAATTACGGGTCACCAAAACTGGGTCGTCTCATTTCAAACTGACATTGACCCGGACGATTAAATCCATATTTAGTATAAATCTATTGATTTGATCAAAGACCAGTTGATCTGGGCGGTTGAAATCTACCCTAATTTGAATACTTAGGGTTAGGTGTAGTCTTTGCTGACTCAAGTCAAAACTTAACCCCATCCGGAATGGCCCGAAGTTGTCATGACCCGACCCTATTTTCCTTGAGATCATTTCTTCGTAGAATAATGGTATGCCCGTCCCTAGGACCAAGACGAACTCTGGTCCATCGCTATGTGACCCGGGTTTTTGTTCAACTGCAAACCCCTTTCAAAATCCACGTGGGGTTCATCAAGGTCCTAATGGGCAGCGAGAGAGAAAAAGGGTTTCAGGCTTTCAGCCATCAATATAAATGCATATGTAAAGTGTAAAGTTGTAAACGACAATGCCGAGATGACGAAAAGGACCAGTTGGTCGGCCACCCGAACAGGACCAAAAAGCATATTTGATCCGGGTCCACATCACAAGACTCAGCAGAGGTCCTACTGTTACTGTACGCATATCTGGAATTTTAAGGCAAAATATCAGACATCACATCTCCGCCCCACAACGCCCCACAGCACAGACATTATCAAAAATGGTACTATCATCCATAGATGTTTCCACGGCGGAGATGTTCTGTGGGGCGTTGTAGGGCGGAGATGTGAACTCAAAATATCAGCACTAAGTTATTAGGGGTGGCAATGTGCCGAGCTTTTCACGAGCTGTTCGAGCTCGATTCGTAAGCTGGTTCAAATATATATATATATAATAAAAATATCATAATTATTAATTATTATAATTCTTAATTTTTAAATATAAAATAAAAGAATTTATATATAATTTTTATTTTTATAATAAAATATTTTTATAAAATATAAAACGATCTGAGTCGAATTCGAGCTTATGAACTCTTGACTCGAGCCGAGTTCAAGCTTAAGATTCTAGCTCGAACCGAGCTCGAGCTCAAACCTTATAGAATAGTCTCGAGCCGAGCTCGAGCTTATAAACTCTTGACTCGATCCAAGCTTGAGCTTAAGGTTCTAGCTCAAACTGAACTCAAGCTCGAGCTCAAGCTCGAACCTTATAGAATAGTCTTGAACCGAGCTCGAACCTGGTACTATTCGGCTTGGCTCGAATCCAACCCCGGCCACCCACCTCACTCTTTATATAATTATAGGGTAAAAACTCTCCTATAGTTTTACTATACAAAAACCTCTCCGCTATTTTTAAAAGAAATTGACAAAAACCTCCTTCCGTCAATTATCATGACGGAAAACGTTAAACCGATGATCAAATCTTTCCAAATACCTATTTTAACCTTTTCAAATACGCCTTCATGATTTCCATCTTAGCAAGTTCTTGGAACATTCCGCCATTGATCATCATATATAGTCTCTCAGTGCACTGTAATTGCCTCCTAATGCTTCCAGCAGAGTCTGCAGATAAACGCCCTACGCCTGTGCAAGCACCATTATTCCCTCGGCCTCTTTCTTCTTTGCATACAGTTCTGCGTCTGCAACTTGTTGGTGAGCGTAAAAAGATGCCTCTGCAATTGCTTTCTATTCCTTGGCCTCTTTCTCCTTCTCATACAATACTGCTTATGCTGCCTTCTGATTCTTATAAAACTCCCAGTTCGCTTCTTGAACCTTCTGTTACAAACAGATATGTACTTTGGACGTTAATTCCTCATAAATCGTAGAAATATCATCAAGAACAACAGTTGGATTTATTTAGAAAAAAAAAACAGAAAGAACATGACTGTATCGATCGGCAATGCTCCATACCCGGGTTTCATACTCCACACCAGCCTTACTCAGTAGCTCGGCTCTGAGCTTCTCTGTGCGAGTCAATGCGTTCATCCTCTCAACTTCTCTCTGCAACTCAGCCTCTCGGATGGCCACCGCCTTTGCTGACTCCACTTCCACCATCTTGAGCCTGCCGAGTCCACCCCACTTTCTTTGCCCCAACTCCGCGTTGGCCTCTGCAACATGAGTTCGGATTTCCTGCACTTGGTTTCGTTTATGCCGGAGTGCACTTCTAATCGGATTTTAACACGTTGTGGTTCACATGTACATCTGGCTCACATGTGTCATAAAATTAAACAGAAAATTTGCCGTGTTATGTTTTCCGTATAACATTTTTTGAAACTAATTAAAAAAATGTGAATTCATCTTCTTCCCCAACTAGACAACTGGAGAGTGACGGCCGGCTTCACACCCACTATTCCTCTCTTCTCTCGCCCACTTCCTATCTATCTCTTCTTTCTTTTTCTTCCCTCTCCTTTGTTCCTCCCTCCNTCTTCCTATCTATTGTTTCCGTTTAATTTGGATTCAGCCACGGTGACCGGAGGAGCAGCAGATCCCCCTTCATATTCTAATTTCCCTAATAATCGACTTAGAGCAGGGAGATAAGACGGTAATGGTAGCAGACTCGCCATTTTGGAGAGCGAAGTGTGTTGTACTTGTGTTCTGATGTGCTGCCGGATTGCACCTCCGACTGTACTGTGAAGTTGCAGTTGTTGATAATAGTCAATGTCTTTAATATACCCCTGTAGAAACTGAAGCAAAATAAAACAAAGAATATAATCCAAATCAAGAAAGAGTCGTTGACACAAAGGTTCTTAGAATGCATTACTTGAAACAAGCTTAGTAAGAATAACATAAGACAAGAAAAAACACAAAGAACGTTAAGCTAGCCAAACTGTGAAATAGCTTCAGATTGGCTGTTATAAATTGTCAACAACCACCATAGAAGATTTTGAAACTTAAATGAAGATTCAATCTACCAAGTAGTAACTTCCCCATTAGGCGATAGCTCTGCTTTTCTTCAAAGGGTTATTTTTGTCAATGTTGTTTGATGCCATAGCGAATGATCAAATAAGAGAAAGTGATCTTCTGAGTACCAACTTCTGTTACCCAGAGAAGGAAAGGATTGAAGGGTGTATCCGTGAAGCCGGCCGCCACTCTTTGGTTGTCGAGTTGGTACACGAAACCAAGTGCAGGAAATCCGGACTCCTGCAACGTCAGCCTCCTTCTGGTTCTCATATATACTCACATCCGTCTTCACCTTAATCTCTTCCTTCTTCCCTTCTCCTTGCCTTTGGGTTGATATGATCCTCGTCTCCACGTCGATCTCTGCCTCATTCTGCAGTGTCTTCCCTTCAAGAAGCTTTGCTCCGATCTCACCCTTCATCTTGGCCTCAGCCACATCGATCTTAGCCTGGTTGGCAGCCTTCATCTGGGTCTTTTGGTCAAGGTACGAGAAGTACTCATCAGTACGTCGACTCAGGGGCCGATAGTGAACACTACCGGGAGAACGAAGAGGAGCTTTTCTGCGCTCATAGCCTGTACTTCGAACGTGTAGTTTACCGGAGAGATGTCGAAGACAGTGCAGGATTGCCCCGGAAGGACCCATGCCTTCTTGGCGAGCTTGACGTCTCGTATCCCGACGTCGGTGATCACTAAATACTCCAACGGGCTTGCCACTTTATACATGGCTGTGGGCGAGTACTGTAAGAAACGGAGAAGAAGAAGAAGAAAAAGAAAGAGAGAGAGAGATCGGATGTAAAAGAGGGCCAAATTTGTATATAAAGGGAAAGACGACAATAATAGGGCTGTTCATAACAAGACCCAAACCGATTAACCCGGTCCGATCCAACTTAAATTGGCCGGGCCGGTTTTTCTTCAGCATCGGTTGGTTTTGGGTTAAAAAAATATAAATCGATGGTTCGGTTCGGTTACTAAATCAACCCAAATCGATTTAAATATATATATATATATAGTATTTCAGATATTTTATATATATAAATATTTGATATATTTCAATTTTAATATATATATATATATATTTCAGCATTATTTCGAAAATATACATATTATATATAAAATTTCAGCTTTAATCCATCAAATTATTTTTAATTTCTAGGCCTCCAACCTTCTCTTCGTAGACTTGAATCTTTTACCGTTCATACCAAAAGAATTATTCACTAAACCGACCCAAACCGATCAAGTCGGTTTTACTTAGTACAGGGTCGGTTTCGATTTCATTTCTAGGTAAATCGACCAGGTCGAATCGATTGAAAAAATGCCAATAAACTGATGCAACCCGACCCGTGAACAGCCCTAGATAATACGTGAACATACTTATTTTAATAGAAACATGAAAAAGGGTAAAATAGGTATTTAAAAAGATTTAATCATCGGTTTAATGTTTTCTGTCTTGATCATTGACAGAAGGGAGGTTTTTGTCAATTTTTTAAAAATAGAAAGAATGTTTTTACTAAAGTGAAACTATAGGGGAGGTTTTTATGATTGTGAGAAAGTTCAGGGGAGGTTTTTGTATTTTACCCATAATTATATTAGAAAAATCCGGGCTAAAGACTAGAACCGCTTAAGAAAAGTCCGGGCTGTCAACCATAACTTAGGCCAGGGTAGGGATGTTGCTGGGACGGCTATGCGGGTGGGCCGGTTACCCATCCGCCCAATTCCTATTGGGATTTGGGACGGGCTTGGTATATGCCCTAATCGGGTAAGTTTTGGGTTCATGTTGTGGTGATATCATTATCAGCCCATCAGGGGTCAGTTCGAGTTACATTTGGTTCAGATATACCACATGGCTATCTCTTGGCTTAGGCCACGCTGAACCATGGCCCATGGGCGAGCGAAAACCCAACTCAAAAGCTCCTTTAAGCATGGCAGATAGCCTACGTAATGAATTGCATTTCAAACCACAAAGATGAACAACACAAATAGAAATAGAGGTTGTTAATGAAGTATCTGAATTACAGAGTTCAACCAGAACAATTAACATAACACCAAGTTCAACTTACAGACTTACAGTTAACAAAACAGAAAGTTTTCTCATCAACATCCAGTCAGATAAAAAGAGGTCTGAGACCATGGATTTATCAATGGGGTGAATATAAATCTGTCAGAAACTCCAAGTTAGATCCTGTATCGCAATTTTGATTTCTGAAACTTCTTCCTGATCAAGAAATGAGTCATTGAAGTTTGGCTAATAAAGGCCTTTCCTTAAGATATATAAATCTATCAGTCCTTGTCTCACATGAAATTCTCTTCCAGTTCTTGCAAAGAATTGTTTGTTGCTGATATCTGTTTGTTGGATGTCATCTTTTCTGGAACCATAAGGCCCTTATAGCTCCTTATCTCTGCCTGCCTCTCCTTTTCGAGCCTCTCCATCTCTTCCCGCCGTTTCTGCAAATGACAATGGTAAGTTACATTTTAGCAACATCTGAAAAATGTAAGCTTATGAAATAATAGATTACAATTATAAGAAACCTTAGAAAATTATCTATGGTATTTGTCTCAAATCAAGTATCAAAGACTGGGTTTCAGATCATGCTTCAGCAAGAATACTAAAAATGTCAAAGTCCATAGGAACTCATTCATGCCTTTTCTGACTAAGAATTTTAATATTTTATAGCTGCTACGACATAGGTCAGAACAGCACCAGAAAGCAGCTCCCAACCTACCAGGGGGGAAACACCAAGGGTTCAAAGCAGCAGGCACCAACATGTTTGTTGATCGAACCCTAACAAATAAGAACAAACTAGTATTTTTGGTTTTAACTTCTCTTAGTTCTTTGTTGTATTTTTTGTTAACGACAAGAAAAATTACTATGTAATCATTTGCTTTTTTGACTTTTCTAGGCTTGCCAAGTTGCACCCCATGCATGTGTCCATGGAATAAAACATAGCCATCCATGTCTCTTGAGCTGTGTTTGGTTTGAAAGAGAAGGTAGGGAAAGTTTGTATAGGTTTCCCTACCTTTTCTTTCAAACCAAACACAACCTTGAAGTATACTTCCTGATATCAACTTGTCTTTGACCATTCATACAACCACAAACTTCATTTTGACATCCGTTTTTGGCAGCCAATAACCATTTGCCTGCTTTCCCATCCCAGAAGAAAATGGAAGAAGTAAGCAAAACATAATGGAGAAGATGGAACAAATGCTCTAACAAAGATGGAAGTCCAACTTACTTTATCTCTCAACTGTAGTTTTCTTTCAGCTCTTTCTGCTGCATTTACTGCATCTCTCTCAGCTGCGTGGATAGAACTAAAAGTTATCCACAATTACCTTGAAATAATAATACAATGCAAATAAATCTTTCTAAAGCAGGTAATTGTAGTGCTGAAAGAAAGTCAAAGCAGCTACTATCTGGATTTCACATGGAGAGATGATAAGATTGTAAATTTAACCTTTTAAGTCTGGTTTTCTCTCAACTTGTGTCTTATTCAATCTATTAACTATCTCATTTATACGCTTCTCCACTCTGACAGTGCGAACCTTCACCAAAAACAAAAAGAATAGTCATAATTCCCTCATGTGTTCTACTGGTGCCCAATTTAAAACAGAAATTAAAGCTCTACAGAATCACCTCTACTCACTATTTTAGGGTTGTGAAAACCAACTTGTCCAACATCCATGGAAGCTGTCTTCTTCAAATTGTACCAAGGAGTGTAAACAACATCAATATTATTCACCTTGTTGCCTGCAACACAAATAAATCATGTCAAACAAAACAGATTTCTATACTGTATATCGATCATCTTACTTAGGGTCAATAGAAGAGCATTAAGAATGCTATATAAGAAGGAAATTTTACTAGTCACTACTTTTAACTAACATAAAACCGTCATTTTTAATGAACTGTTGTTGGTAAAATCATCTTTTTCCACACTGAGATTTTTTATTAGTAAGTTGCAAGCAACCTGCTAACTACATAAATATATATATAGTAAAGAAAGCATAGAATTTGCCTTGTATCGAATTTGCCTTAACAAGCTGTGCACAATCTTCCAGCAAACCTTCACTTATATCATCAATTGTCTGTCCTTTATTCAATCTCAGATACACATGAGCAGAAGACATTTTGTCAACATGGAACCTGCAGTAGGCAAATTATAAGGGATCTCTGAATTAAAGAAAAATAGCAAATGCAGAACATGAGAATGTATGTCTAAATTGAAGGTCATGCTTATTAACATGAAGTTATGAAATGAAAAGATGGCACCCCAGAATGAGAAAACCATGACAACTGACTATAATCCAGAGTAAATAATTTTTTTTTTTTTTTTGAAGAGGTAAAGTAATATTTATTGAGAAAAGAGATACACAAAGGAGAAATCAAAGATGACAACATAATAACTGAAAAATATGATCTAACAATACAAATATAATTGAACAAAAAGGCAAATTATGAGAAGCTAGTATGGAAAGCAGAAATCCATGTAAAATCTAAGGTAGGATTGAAGTATATGTATGCCAAAACGAGAATAAAAAGAAAAGAAAAGAATGGTTGCTTGCTGCTTGGAATGCCTTCAGCTAGTGACAGGGATGTATATATCTAACATTTCAAGGAACATTTTGAAAATTGAACATAACTTAGTTATTCTGTGATTTGAAGGCTTCATAGGTGGTGCTAGTTCCACCTCATTGACTGCATCATCAATTTGGATAATGTGTTTTTCCTTCTTTCCTTGTTTGTATGCTTTCCTTACATCATATTGAAATTTTGTTTTTTCATAATTTGCAATGTCCAATCTAGAACTGTTTGTAGACAATCCTGAATCAATAGTACTAGGAATTTGCATTTCCCAGATGATCTCTGAACTCTGAAGGCACCACCCATTCTTGATGGACCAGGTCCCAAGAGGGCACCCATGGAATTAAACTTTACCATTCTTGCCTCTGGGACCATCCCAAAACTGAACCACCTGTTGCCTCTGTGGAGAAAAACCTACCACCATATACCAACCTTTCAAAATAGAATCCGACGACAGCCCCTTGAACTTATTTCTTGCTAGAAACCAACAAAATACTTTCACCTTAATCAAATTGAAGAGAGTATTTTCTTCTAGCCTCTTGTTTTCAAAAATTCTGGAGTCCCTTTCACTCCAAACACTCCATACTACTGCTCCTCTTCTTCATCACCATAATAATGTATGAGTTCATGCATTTCTGACCAATTTGGAGACTTCATGTAGCTGCCTACAGTGTGTGGGAATGGAAAAAGCCCAACCCTTAAAGAAACATTGGATTATTCACTTTCACCAAACCAAGATCTGAGTGTTTCATTCTCTTCTCATTTTTTGGTTCACCAAACGTACAAACTGAGATATCATCTAATGATAACCTTTTTTAGACATGGTTAAGGATTTCAACCAAGGTAAATACATCTTTAAAGTCCACACCAGAATTCAGTGACATGATAAGTACCCTTCTGGCCAAAGTGGTCAAAAATGGTCCATTAGACACATTAGAAGTCATTAATAGAATGCACATTCTTTTAAGATTAAATATCCAACCTATAGAGAATAAGTATCTCCCAAACACAGAATTCCTATAAAAAACATTGAATTATATTTCCTCTTATATTTGGTAAAGCTTGAACCATCAATAGATGGGAAGGAAATTGCTAGCACAATGGTATCTGGTATTGGGTTTTAGAATACTCAAGCTCTTTGAGGCCCCATGGTCTTTGTCTTTTTGCAGAAGGCTTTTTTGTTGGGACTTGCTCTTAAGATTATATTTTTAGGCAAATAAGATATCTAAATAACTACTGGCTTGTACATTTAGGCCCTTCTTTATAAAACTATTGAAATCATATAGCAGAAATAAAGAAACCCAAATAATCTACAAAACACAGGCACTGTGCTTAAAAAATATGCATGCATAAACTGGACCTGAGAATTAGAGTGTAAAAGATATTTTCTATTAATGTGAAAAAACACATGAAAACCTACATTCTTAGCAGCAGTAAATGACGTACAAAATGGTTCATAGAGATAAGGAATTAAATTGTGGTGGAAAGAAAAAGAAAAAAATTCAGGAGGATGTCTACCCATAGAATTATAGCAAGATAATCAGATAGCGAAATTGACAGATGTATCCAGGGTGTTGTGTGGTTAGAAAATACCATTCAAGCTAGAAGGAAATTAAAAAAAAAAAGGTTATAAGGCCAAAAATATTGATATTATATGTAAAAGATTAGATATAGGCATATTTATGAGAACCTATGAGTAGATCCAATAGGTGATAAAATGAATGAGGGTATCCAGCTCCTAAAAGGGTTTACAAATGTCCATAAAAAGACCACCTATGGTACCAGTAACAGTAAGAAGTGATCTCTTGCAAGTTGAATTTTTACAGGAGCTAGAACTAGAAGGCTATGAAAAAAAAGGACCTGGTTTAAAGTATTGATAAACGATAATTTATTTGAAGACCAATGAATTGACAATGGGTATGGCACTCAATAGAGCATAATGGAAGAACAGGGTTCATGTAGTCGATCCCATATTGGTTGGAATAATAAGGTTCTTTTGAGTTGGGTCGAGCTGAGGATTTGAGTTTGTCAGCGCTTAATCTATAAACAAGGCCAAAACCAAGTTAGCAAGAAGAGGACAAGGGATTCGAGCAGAAAAGTAGGAGGATAGGGAAGAGAATTTGTATCAGATGTTGTTGATGAATGAAATGAGCCCCAGAATTTTCTTCAAGAAAAAAACTGATGGGAAAAAAATAAAAAGATAACTGATACTAATATGATAGAAAATCCAAAATATGACTTGCTATCACTACACTGGACATATGGAATAATGAACAAAAAAAAGTCAGATGAAATAAATGAAATTTTTACCATATATCTTCGGGAAAACCATATTTGATGAGCTCTTCGTTCTCGTGCTTGTCTAAGCCCATGAAAATGGTATAATCACCAGCCGCTGGTCGAGCTTTGAAGTAGAAAACCATCGTTTCTTGTCCTCCCAAAACCAGAAAAACTTGGGTTTTGAGATTGGAGAGAAGAACTTAAAGAGGAGAAACCGAGAATTCAAAGAGAAAGATACCTTTGATAATTGATACGATCAATTCAAAGGAATGCAAGAAAGAGAAGCGTAGAAGGTGAGAAGCACCAAAGTCGAATAAAGAAGTCTTCAGGATATAGAAACGAACCTTCTATTTTCGCCTTTCCTCCTTTACCCTTTTATTCTTGCTTTTCATACTTGGCAACTTAGATTTACCCTCCATTAATATTCATCTTCCGACGTCATCAACCTCTCCACAGACCACAGGTGACTTCCCAACCCCCACCCCCCACCGCCCCAAAAATACAAACGAAACTCTCTATATATGCACGTATCTATATATAATATTATAATTCACCCTTATCTAAACAAATCCAAGGTATTTTCATTTTTATTGGGCGGAATCAAAATCCTATTTTCATTTTTGTTGGAATGGCATTTTTCTTCTGAGAGAATGATCATTTTTTCTTTCTCTCTCCCTTGGGAATGAAAGCCCATTCCGGCTTATTTCAATTTCGATTCTAATTTTTGTTTGAACCAAATATATTATGGGTATAGATCATTCAGATTCTGATTTTAAGGCTGTGTTTGGTTCAATTGCATTGATGCAAAATCATGGTAGTGCAAATGATTTGAGTGTGAATTCTGATCTATTTTTGTTTTAAATTGTAGCTTATTTTGTTTGATTTCATTACAAATGAAGTAAATTAAGACATGAAACAAAATAAAATAAAATCCAAAACAGAATTAAACAAGAATTTGCACTCCCTGCATTTGTACTAATACAAATAAATTTACAGTGCAACCAAACACAGCCTAAGAAATTTTGATTTGAATTTCAAATTGCAAACCAAATAGACCCTAAGGCCTCATTTGGGATGGCTACTTGTTTTGGACAAGCTGCTTTAGCTGATCCACTTTGGTTGAGTATTTGCGATTGATGAACTATTCTGAGTAGCTTTTAGGTCACCATTCTGATATTTCATGTTGGTTTTCTAGATTTTTACCAAATACAACTTCAGGGGTTAACATCATAGTCAAATTAAAAATCAATCAATTGGTAATAGAAGTAGAAACAATCAATTGAAATTTGAAACTCATAAATTCACGAGTTTCCACTTATTAGATTGTGGGGCTTGTGAATTGGTTTGGACACCACTTTAACCCAAGCTTGAGGTATTAAATTGGGAGACTCATACACAAGATAAGGCAGAAATTTAAGGTATTTGATTGTGGGTCAATCCTTATATATCAGTCCCTTACATTTCTTCTTTCTTTCCAATTATGGGACTCGTATATTTGTACGACATATTTGAATATGAGGGTGGCAAAAATGAAATAAATAAATAAATAACTGTTAAAAATTAAAACCATATCCACTCTATCTGGTGTCATTATTGTGTTTGAGTATTGATCTTTTTGAAAAACCGGATTCAGTCAGTTCAAAGTCCATTTCAACAGCTAGTATAGCCTTGTATTGGAAATATCTTCTCATGAAATAAAGCATAGAAGTATGAAGATGTTCCTAATGCAAGGATATAATGGCTGTTGGAACAATGTTCGAATGGGCTTTGAACTGACTGAAGCCGATCTCCTTTTTGAAGGCTGAAAACATACCCCAACGAACCAATTATGCAACATGTAATGTAGATAACTATGCCATGAGCATATGCCTTAATAGACAATCATGGAACAAGCAATTAACTGAAAAAGGAGAGAAATGATTTACTGCCTAAAATGGTTTCTAGTTTCTGTCTTCCTGATGCAAAGTTAGATTGGTACAATCCTTGATGTATGCAAATGTGATCATTAAAAATGGCAACAAATTTCCATTACAATGTTAGAAATGTGGATCCTAAACATGTTTTGATTTCAATTTGTGGAGACCTACGGCTAGGAGGGAATGTTGCATGTTTTCAAAATATATTAGGACAGGGCATTGCCTACATTATTAAGGCTTCATTCACTTTTAGGTAAATTATTTCTCCGGGTAGATGCACTTATCTCGTTCTTTTATTTTCCACATAAATAAGGCAATGACCATTTTATTCATAAAAATCTATTATTAAGAGGGACATTTTTGTCCCAATCAAATGTTAACAAATTTTCCCCCAGGTGGAAAAGTTATTTATCCACGTAAGAAATGAGTATCACTTATTAGGGTAACTGATACTCCAAAAATTAAACTTTTCCTGATCCCCACAAAAATCTTAAAAAAAAGAACATTGATTTCTTGATCAATAAAAATCAAAATCTCATTGACCAATTTTCTCCCTCTCAAAATCTATAAAAAAAAAAAACTCCCTAAATCTTTATATTTCTTTTAACAAAAAATATGCTTATATTTCGGACTTTAAGGCAGACATTACCGAATCCCAGCAACGATGCCGGTCTTAGAAGTGTCGACCTTTTGTCTATTTGACTACCTTCTCCGCATTCAATTTAATTATGAGATCAATCACTACAAAAACATATTTAATTAGGTAGGGTCCATTTCGTGGGAAAAACCCACCTTAAGAAAACAACCGCATTAGGCACCATGTACCACCTCATCCATGGGTAGGGGTGAGTACTATTTGGTTAATTTTGGTTTAGTTTTTTCAATTTTTAGTTGAAACGATTTGATTAATTCGGTTTTCAGAATTTGAAATTTAATTAATCGAATTAATCAAACTTTCTATTATATATAATAAAATGAAATTTGATTTCATAATATATATTTTATAATATATAATATATATTATATATTGTAATATATAATAGAGTATATATTATTAAACTTCGGTTTTAACCAAAATAAGTTAAATACCCGAAAACCGAATAAAAAATTTTGGTTTTTCTATAATTCAGTTTTGGTTCATTTTTTATTTTGATTTATTCAGTTCAATTTTTAACTGAATAAATTGAATGTTCACCCCTATCCATGGGTGGGAAACTGGGGATTTGTAACCAACAAAACAAAATGCTTTGAACAAAATCAACACTGTCCCAATTAGGCCTTTGTAGCTGCACATGGGAATATCTCTCTCGTCATTCTTAGGGAGATGTTGCTATTGTGAATTCAGATTGGTGAATGGTGATTCATAGAGTGGCTCCATATGCATATCTCAGGGTGCATTGAAAATATCTCATACTTGTCATGAAGAGATGTTCTTAATACATGGTTGGAATATATCATGGAGTGCATTCTATAGGGCACTCATGCAAATTCTTCTATTGTAAATTGTAACAATGTTTTTAAACCCGTTGTTGACCCAACTGGTTGAACCGTTTGAACTGTCACTCGATTAAGATTTTGGGTCCGGTTTTAGTAAAACCCGAAAGATGGTCAGAAATCATTCGAGCCAAACGATTGGACTGTTGATCTATTTGACTTGGTGATCATGTCACGGTTTGCACACTAAATGTGTATGCAAATTTTGGGAGGCCATAACTTTGCACTTCGAAGTCTAATTGAGGTGATTTGTTCTTTGCTTTTGGGTAACTTTTCGAGATTTATGCATCCTAAGGTGCCATGCTCCGCTATTTTTGCCAAAATTTTTAGCCTCAAATTGCAATTTTTTAATATTTTTTCAAATAAAAAATTTAAAATAGCATTAAAAAACATAAATTAAATATAAAATAGTATGTTTATTACATGTAGAACATAATTATACATTATCTATTGATAAAATACATGTTTACACACACATATGTATGTATGTATGTTTGTAATGGCTTATTGTGAAAGAGTTGGGAGTGTTTGTTGAAGGTAGATCTGAACAATCCATCAGTCAGTTTTGATCCACAACTTCGAGACATTGGGATGGCACTCCAATTCATATAGGCATATTATTATTATTATTATTATTATTATTATTATTATTATTATTATTATTATTATTATTTTGCATTTATATTTTTTAGGGGAAATTACATATAGGTATCATGTACTTTTGGGGTAGTGACACTTAAAAGGGCATCAACTTTTAAGTCAGACAATTAAGTGAGTCCAGATATGCTCCTCACAACATGTCTTGGTTGCACATCGGGAACATCTCCTATATTTGTATTTTCATGGGGAGATGTAGCTATGAAGTTAGTGTGAGGAGCGTTCTATGAGGAGCAGATCCCAATTCCAATTATGGTGCCCAAAACTTTCAAAAATCAACATTTAAGTTTAGTTGTTAACATTCCATTAGTTATTTGCATCATGTGATGTCATGTGTGCCTTGAAATATTTCAAAATCTCAAAACTACCCTGCACATAATTTATGAGATTGTTTCATGAGGATTTCTCTCAAGGCCTACCAAAGTGACCTTGCATCAACATATAGCCATTCTTTAAAACTTGCTCAACAAATTCATTATAGAAACACATAAAAGGAATTTAAAATGGGTAGCTATACTAAATTGTTGATTTTTGAAAGTTCAGGGTGTGTAGTTGTTGCACTTAAAAGTTGAGGCCCTTAAGTGTCATTACTCACAAAGTACATGGTACCTATTTGTAATTTTTCTTTTTTTAAGCTGCATTCATTACTTAAAATCAAGGTTTTAAAAATCGACCCGGAAATGGAACCGTTCTGGCCACTGGTTTTCGGGTCAGCAGTTCAACTGTCCAGGTCAAACAGTTTGGACAGTTTGAGTATTTTATCAGTGATATGTCATCTTACCCATTAGATTGGAATATTAGGGTAAGATGCATATAAATATAAAGAGAAAATAAAGATGGAATGAGAGGCATTTGAGAAGTTTTGGCTGAAAGAGTTTAGAAGGAGAAGAAGAAGAAGAAGAAGAAGAAGGAAGAGGGGGGCTTGAAGGTTGTAGTGGTGATGGCAATGGCAGCGGCAACGACGATGGCAATGGTGAAAAACGGGAGTAGATCAGAGATTTCTTAATCAGATCTCTCTCTCTCTCTCAGACGGCAGATCTGTCATCTAGAGTCTAAAGTCTAAACTTCTCTCTCAAATCTCTAAATGTGAGATCTCTCTCACTCTCTCACACATCTCTCTCAGAGTCTCAGTATATCTCAGATCTCAGATATCAGATATCAGATCTGAGCTTTCCTTTTGACAAGTTAATAAACCACAAACCGTTCTCCAGGTCAAATGGTTCAATGGTCAAATCGTTCGGGTCAATGGTTTGTTGACTAATTCAATGGTTTTTTACTAGAGACCGGGTTTGGGGTAAAACGAAACCGGTCACTTGAACGGTTTCTACTCCGAACAGTCCGATCGTCCGGGTCAATGACGGTTCAAAAACATTGCTTAAAATAGATTGTGTTTGTGAACTAA